TTCGTTTTCCAAATTCTTGCATTTCTTTCAATACCTACTCTATATGAAAATATTCAAATCTATACAATTTTTAGAATTGTTTCTCTGTTTTATTGTTTTTGCTTATTGATATTTCTGGCTTTAAGTGATTCTATCCATCTTGTGTCTATCTTTTGTTGTATTAGTTGCATGTACTCTTCTTTTTTAATAAGTATAGTACAAAGTTTTGCTTCTTCTATATCTAGTTCTTCAAACATCTTTTGTGTATTTTCTATAACTAAAAACTTGTGCATACTTTTTCCAGTTACTTTAGCTAATTCTGTAGCTACTCTAACAAATGTATCATAAATTTTTATACAACTTTCTAGTTTAGCCTTAGTTAATTTTTTCTCTTCAATAATTATAAATATTACTTCTAAAAATAAAATCAATTTAGTATAGAATTGTGTTTTATCTAATTGATAGTTGGCTATTCAATTTGATGCATTGAATAGTAAATTGAAATTATGGATTAATAGGTTTCAATAAATTAGTTTTCATATAATTTACAATTTCAGAGTTGAGAAATTGTAATTCATAACAATACTGAGACTTCATATACAATTCTGAAACTTACATATATTGTATAACTTTTGTAATATAATTTTAATACTAGGTATTATTGTAAAATTATTATAATTTTGCGTAATTTTATATAATCTTGTGCAAGTTTTAGTAAATTATAATTTGATTACAAAAATTATATATTATATACTTAAAGTTACAAAGTTTTTAGTATCGAAGAATCATATATCCAAACCAATGATGCAATAATGCTAGCTGAAAATTTGTAAAACTAGCACTAGTGCTTTATATATAAAATAAAGGAAGTTATATAAAATCTGAATTACTATGCTTAAAGCTTTATTATATTTGAATAAAACCTAAAATTAATATTCTAAGATTTATATCAAAGTTTGTACTTTCTTAGCTAACTCTTTTTTATATTGCTGTACATAATGTCTAATCTAATTTTTGATAGTCTTGAGCTTTGGTACCTCACTATTTTCTAATTCCCCTGCTTCTGCACTTTTCTCTAATGCGTTAAATATGTCTTTTGTACTATACCGTTCGCTTTTGTTAATATCACTAGCATAAAAAAAGCTTTTTAATAATTCTGTTATATGAGCTGTTATATATTTATATCCTCTTCGTTTTCCAAATTCTTGCATTTCTTTCAATACCTACTCTATATGAAAATATTCAAATCTATACAATTTTTAGAAT